TAGTCATTTTTTAAAAATATTTTAATATTTTGAGAGAGAGAGAGAGAGAGAAAATGAATCTTCTTTTGTAAATGGACACAACACAATGCCTTTATTTTTATGTGGTGCTGAGAATTGAACCAGGGTCCCGCCCATGCTAAGCGAGCGCTCTACTGCTGAGCCACAATCTCAGCCCTCCATAGTCATTTTGATGTTGTCTTTTTTCTTGCATTTGAGTTCATGAGCAAGAAATTGAAATTCTGTGGCCCAGATGTAATTGATCCCATTCCTTGGCAGAATCAACATATTGTATTATTGTGTCCTTGATGGGTGAGGCCACCAAACATATTACCTAGCACTATCAGAAGACCTGCACAGTTCTGGGTTAGTGGTCACTGCTTGACTCTTTATGTCATGACAGTGAAGTATGTGATAATTGTAGTTTCTTTCAAATTTGGAATTCAGCATTTTGATGAATCAGGAAGCAGAAGTAGAGCATCCCCCAGAAATTGCTGATTAATTTTTCTGGAAGTTATGCTAGCATTATGTTGAGGGGCATATATGATACTAATGAATATGTCCCTTGGTAATCTACCCCATCCTTACCAGAAGCAATAAAGAGTGTCATCTGTGGGAGATAGAACTTTTAACCCTGTGTCTTAGAGCATTCAAGCTGCAATAACAAAAAACTATAAACTTGGTAACTTACAAACAGCAGAAATTTCTCATTGTTCCTGAGGCTAAGAAGCCCAAGTTCAAAGAATAAAATTTATTACTATAGGGTGAGGGCTCATTTCCTGGTTCATAGATAGTGCCTTTCATTATGTTTTCTTTCCTCTCTCAATCATTGTGTTTTCCCGTGGTGGAAAGGACAAATAAATTCTCCTTGACATATTTATAAAGGCACAATTCCATTCACGAGAGAGAGCTAATTACCTCCCCAAGGGTCCCACCTCCCAGTATCATCATCCTGGGGGTTAAGATTTCAACATATGAGTTTTGGGGGAATATAAACATTCAAATCATTGCACTTTTTCCCTAACTTCTATTCTGACCCTTCACTTATATGGGAAATGGAAGTGCAAGAAAATTGAAAGCGTTGGGGAATTTTGTTCAACATCCTTCCTGCCAATGGTTCTCAGAGGTTGAGCCAACTTTGTAATGGGCATTTTTGGGTGTGCACACATTCCAGGAACTACTGGAAATTGCATCTTCAAGGGGCTAAGTTAAACTTAAAATACACTGAAGCTAGGTTACAAAATTCAAATAGGGCCAGATGAGTAGAGAATTGAGGAGAACCAATGGATGTGAAGGGTAGAAAAGGAAATTTCTAGGAAAGATGGGAAATTTAAAGAAAAAAAAATTTGAACCAAATCCCACATGTTTGTGGAGGCATTTTATTTGGTGCCCATGGCTGTGGATACAGGTATGCTGAAATATAATAAAGAAGCCAAAGCAAAATGAATCAGCTCCAGTTTCAGTAATTCTACATTCTTATTATCTTGCAAACTCCATCTCTTTCCCATGCAGTGGATTCCTAACTGGGGAGCTTCTGCCTCTTGAACATTTCTCAATCATTTTCTCTAGTGATCACAGCAATCAATCTAAAACATAAATTTGAAGCACTTTTACTAAAGTGCTTCATTCTTCACCATTTCCTACTGGATTAAATACAAATGTCTGAGGCAGCATATAAACCCATTTACTTATGATTTTGCCCCTGCTTATTTTTCCATATTCACCATTTCTTTTCCATTTCTAGCTTTGATGACTTACTGGTATTTCCTGTAATATGCCATTTTTATACATTCCTTCATGACTCAGTTCCTCTGGACACTGTCTGGAATGTTCTACTCTTGTCTGTTAGGCAGACTCTCCTAGTCTCTTAAGACTTTCTGCCTCTGTGAAGTATTTACTGACCTACCAAGGCAAAGCTGAACACCCCTTCCTCAGGACTTCCTTTGTCTCTGGCACATAGCTCTATTTTTAGCACCTATTGCAGCTCATTGTAATTTGAAAACTAAGTGTATCTAGAGAGTATAGACTATGTATAATTACCTACTATGCCTCTAGGGCATGGCATAGCTCCTCACACATAGTAGGGTCTGAAATTATCTTTGAATATTAAAATGCTCTGAATAAATGAAATATTTTTGCTAAAAAGCAGGAGGAAATAAATTTTTTAAAAAGCAGGAGGTACTTGTCAACCAGTTAATGTTGTTGATAATCTCTTGGATCCTATTTTTTAAAAATATTTAGTTTTTAGTTGTAGTTGGGCACAATATCTTTATTTATTTTTATGTGGTGCTGGGGATTGAACCCAGGGCCTTGCCTGTGCTAGGCGAGCACTCTACCACTGAGCCACAACCCAAGTCCTGGGTCCAATATTTGATATCTAAAGTATCTGATACTAATTTATTCATTGATATAACAAGAATTTATTGAGTGTCTACTCTAACCCAGGCATATATGAATGTAATGATCAACAAAAATAGATATATGCTTTATTGCTCTCATGCTGGGCACTGTGGTACATTCTTGTAATGCCAGTTACTTAGGAGGCTGAGACAGGAGGATTGTGAATTTGAGCCTATTCTGCACAACACAGTGAAATGTTGTCTCAAAAAAAAGTTGAGGAAAATTGTTACAACATTTTTATGAATTATTAAATAAAACAGAGCATATTTTAGTTTCAATCCATGATGTCAGTCTGAGATTGTCTGTAACACACACCTTTCTGAAATATAACATTAAAACCTTTGACTATTGAACTGCTTTTGTAACAAGAACTTAGACTTCACTTTTGCCTGAATCTATGCCTCTATTTTGCATCTGTCTCCTTTGTTGAGTCACCTTGGATTCAAGGAACAACAGGTCTGATCAACAGGTCTCATCTTATGATGAGTTGAAACTACCCCCAAGCTAATAGCACCTTTTTTTTTTTTTATCCCTGACAAGGCTGTGTCTGACAAATCCCAAGATAATGATGGATCAGATCATAATTGATCAAGATCGCCTGCTTTGGCAGCGGGACAAATCCTCCCGCTATGCAATCCCCAACCTCTGCCCTTGTTTCTCTCTCTATAAAATCTCAAAGTCATTTTCTGTCCCTCAAAGACAGGGCTGAGCATATGGATCTCCTTGTCTTCCTGGTGTAGCTACATTGATTAAAAGTTCTTTTTCATTCATTTCACTGTTAATTTTTCTGTTTGGTTTTTGGGGTAGTAACTGGACCTGATTTGTTGACATTCCAGTCAGGCCTCTGGCTTAGGACTCAGGTAACAGTTTTAACTTTTTACTTGCAGTAAGTTTGCCTCTTATTCTCTAGCACATGAAAACATAACAAAATTTTAAAACACAGCATGTAAAATAATTATGCATCTTGTTTTAATTCTAGCAAAAATCTGTTTTCAGAGATCTGTTGGTTGGGGCACATCAGTGACTTTTTTACAGTTTACCAAGTGCTTTTGCATTTATAACAGTATTTGTTTTAATTGTAGAAAAACCAAAGGAACATAGGGGGAACACTCAATAATCAACAAAACCAGATCACCTTCTTAAGCTAGAGAGATTACCTTTAAGCAATTAGAGGCTATTGAAATATAACCAAGAAAAGAAAGGTTCTAGGCACTCTGCTAGAGTCAATAAGTCACAAATTTTAGGTAGTAGGATTAAAGAAAGTAAAGAAGTTGCCAGGATTTGGCATTTTGAAAATGGAAAAGAAAAAAAATACAAACCTAAAAAAAATTAATAGCTTTGTGAAAATCAGATATCAGAAAATCTGAACCAACTGAAACAAGGTTCCCGCTGACTTGACAACTCTAGGAGGATTGGGTTCTACTTCCTTCTCGGTTAGGGTTAGCTAAAGACAAGGGCAGACTTGTAGTCCAATAAAGTAAGATATATATATATATATATATATAATATCATATATATATGCCTCTTATTCTCTAGCACATGAAAACATAACAAAATTTTAAAACACAGCATGTAAAATAATTATGCAGCCAGTATTACAGAGGACAGGCATTCTTTTAAAAATATTGCTTAAGACAGGGGCTTATCTTTCTTAAATTTGGCTATACTATTTCCCTCCAACCTCTCAACTAGAGGGAATTGCTGCAGAACAGACATACAATTCTCTCCTTTTACATGGCATGCTCCTATGGTAGAGACACACTACCAATGTTATGCTTTAAAACTTTCACTTTAATATAAAAAGAGATTAAAGAGCACAAGTCAAAGTAAACTTACAAATTTAGTTTGGTCTAAAATAGTAATCTCCTAAATTAAAGCCAAGTTACTTTGCTGGAACTGGAGCTTTGAAAAAAATTAAATTTTATAAAACTTACAGTATTAGTGTTAACAATTACTCCACTAACTTCTAATTTTTTTTTTTCTTTCTGGGGGGTCTCAGAGAAAATGGATTTTTCTTTATCATTTTAAAAAAATAAAAGTTGTAGGGCTAGGGATGTAGTTCAAAGGCAAAGCATTTGCACAGCATGCATAATGCCTGGGTTTGATCCCCAGCATTGCAAAAAGTAAAATAAAAATTGTAGGCCAGGTGGAGTTTCAAGTTGACTTGAAAGAAAGGAGATGGGAGGAGAAAAAGCACAAATTATTTAATAACTTTTTCCCTATACTTACTTCCTAAACAGAAATCTACTTTGGTCTTCTAATAAGACTAGTTTTCCAAGAGGCTTTAGGCTTTGGCCAAAGACCCCTCTTGGCATCATTGTCCTATCCATTAAACCCAACCCCAGAAAAGCTAGTATAGAGATATATTTCATCTACAAATTTTAGTGTAAAATAACTAGGTACAAAACTTTGGTTTCTCTAAAAGCAGCAAATATCTATGTACAAATGGGCACTTCTTTTCTTAAAACCGGACTCTGTCCATTTCCTGAATTAACTTTACCAGTGTGGTTGGGTTTCTTGTATTTGCTGGGCAGATTTGCAAATGTGATGAGGGAAGGGGGTCCTTGCGTTGGTTTGCTGGCCAGGCAAGGTTAATAAAGGGCTCATTCTGGCTCCACAAAAGGGAGCAGGTGATCTCCAGGCCCTGGTACATTATCGTCCTCATTCTCTGGAACCGGGAGCGGATCATCCCCACTCCCTGCTGCAGAAGGAAAGCAGTCACTGCCAAGCTCTCTGCCACCTGCGACTCTGGACTTGATTGTTCCCATTAGACCTTCAAAAGATCTGAAAGTGGCCGACTTCTTCATGTCCCCAAGTTTCCTGCAGATGACAGAGCTCACGGTGGACAGGGCAGCTGATGTCTTTTGTTTCATGTATGCGTTGGAGATCTGAACATCGTGCCAACTCTTGGACAGATTCTGCCTCAGACCCACCAAGGCCGTGAGGCCCAACTTCCTCTTGAGCTCTCCACAGCGCCTCTCTTTGGCTGCCAACACTTGGCGAAGAGTGAAGATTTCCGCTTCTAATTTAATGAGCTCTGATTTGAGCTCCATTTGCTCGGCCTCGGTTAGATCTTCGGGTTCAGAAGTTGGGCGGGGTTCATATGTGCCCACAGAGGTCTGTGCCGTGACATCTGGCGTGGCGAGGGAAAGATCTTCATTCAGGGAGTCCAGGTCCAATTCTTGGTAGAGACAGTCCGATTCTTGGCCCACGGAAAAATAAGTTTGGCGGGCAGGGTCAAGTTCTTGGCCTGCCATCTCGGATTCCTCGTCAGCAGGGTGGGGCTCCATTCCTAGGCCGCAGAACTGACAACTCGGCGGGTGGGGTCGAGGTCCCAGCCGGACACGCCGAAGTGTGCAGGCCTTGGGCGGGGCCGCTTCCGGGCAGCGGGGTTGGAGGTCGCGCGGCGGCCGCGCCTGGCAGAGGGGGACTTCCGGCCACGGAACCGCGCTCACCTCAGGGGCCACCCTTACTAGTGGAGGTGCCTGGGCATCATAAGGTCCTTGTGAGGTAGGCGGTGCCGCCATTATTATTGAGAGTAGGGAAATTTACTCTCCTGCATAGTAAGCGACAAGTCCTGGTGTTCAAGTAATCTGGCACTTCTTTTTACACCAGTGGTTTTCAGAACCTTCAGAATCCGTTGAACCCTTGTGCTAACAGAAATGTTTGCAAAACTCCAGTACGTAAAGTGAGTAAAGCCCAGAGTCTCAGAGCTTGTCCCCTTTCCTATCTCCTTTTCCCATCTCCCTTTCCCAAATTTTCAAAGGTGAGAAACTCTCAGTACTACTCATAAAGTGAATTTGAAGGTGGTTGCACAGAACTCAATATGAATAACACAATCTCAGTGAAGTATCAGTAGTGCCAGAGACCTGGAACAGCAGTATTCAGGCTGAATCTGTGAGTGAGTTTGACCAGTGACAATTGTCTTATATTTGTGGGGAAGAGAGGAAGAATGACAAAAATCTATAATGTACCCCCCCCCGCCCCTGAAATTATGCTTAATAAAAGCAAAGGCTACATTGCACTTTGAGAATTTAGGGGCGAGGGTATAACACAGTTGAAAATGGACAGAATGCTGATTTTCGGTATGTATCAGAACTTCATTCCTTTTTATGGCTGAAAAAAAAAAATTCTTTTTACCCTCTGTATCCACTCACATTTCTGAAAATCTGTGGACATTCATGATTACCGACTGTGGGAGGTGGTCTGCCTAGGAAAATAGAACCAGTTAAGTAGGGTCTATTAGAGTGTCAACCAACCATTCTTTGGAGTTCTACCCAGAGCTTGTGATTTATACAGTGGAGAAATCATGACATCAATCCAATGAGGGCATATGGTCAGATATCATTGTCCAGTTGTTCATTTCCACGGAATATCTTTGTGCAAGTCTTACTGATTTTGCTGGATATTCTGGTAATTTTTGCAAGCAGGGTCTTGTGAAATATAGTATGATCCTCTGAAAGTTTGAGCAATTTGCCATGTCTGTGTGTCTATATCCAAACAACATTAGCCCTCCTTTGGGCTTATATTCAGTAACCCTTTTACACAACTCAAGTGTTTATTATTATCTTGCCCTGAAGTGTGTGCTTCCTTACATTAAACAATGAAAATTGTTATTGTTGGAAACATGCACCTGATAGGAGATTCATTTACATATGTAAAGAGCTGAAAAGGGAGCAAGGGCTCCCTAAAAATCATTTTGTTTCTGAGGATAGATTTTTTTCCTCTATTGTCTATAAAAACACTAGTGGTTTCCGGAATACTTCCAGAGTCAACTTGAACTCTTCTTTCAAAACTGAAAATGAAGGGTAAAGAAATCCTTGAATTAAGCTAGATAACATGAAATATATGCTGTTCAGAGTTAAGATTCCAAATCACCAGGTCTGAACTTTTACTTGATTTTTCTTCTGTGGATTATTTCCAACCACCAGTCTGCCTTCCTCACTCTTCAGTTCAAAATATGAAATCTTTTGTTAAGCTTTGATTCCTTTGACATTGTAATGGCTTTCCCTCATAGGGATACTGAGTGGACCTCTTTCAGAGGTCCGTTTGGGTTTTCAGATCCCAAATCAAGACATGGCTTCTGGAAGTGGGGCTCCTAGTTGACAATGTTCTGACCTGAGTAAATCTAGATAAATAAGTAGCAAACAAAATGGAACAATCCATTTTGTTGGGCTTATGCCTACCCACATACAAAACAATGCTTTTAATTTTGAAATCATAGATATTTTAAATGAAATTTCATTTAATTTGTAGGGATTCTATCAATTGATTGATCAGTCAATCCCTATAAATTATCAAAGGAATAAAAACTTAACAAGGCTTTAGCAGCCCTCCTACTTGTACTTTTTTTTTTTTGCTTGACACAATACTTTTATTTATTTAGATGGTGCTGAGGATTGAACCCACTGCCTCACACATGCTAGGCAAGTGCTCCACCACTGAGCTACAACCCCAGCCCCAAAAGCTATCCTTTAAAAAAAAACAACTTTATTTTATTTCTTTACTTTTATATGGTGATGAGGATCAAACCCAGGACCTCACATGTGCTGGGTAAGTGCTCTACCATTGAGCTACAACTCTAGCACCCCAAAAATATCCTTTTAAGGTGTAAAATTCCAAACTATCACCCAAGTTTTATAATTTAAAAACTCTAGATCAGATAATGAAATAATCTAGATTACTAGTATATAGTATCAGACAATGAAATAATCTACAGGAAGGCTTACAAAATTGCTCATCTGAAACTGAAAGTTTTTTGAGGCTGTTTATGCACTAAACAGCCAGAAAACTTGACTCAGGAACTTATAAAGAAAGAGCTCAAGAATTATTTATAATCCTACAGTGGTTTGCTATCCTTTGTTTCTAGGGAAGACATCATTCATTGGCCTATCTTAAGTACTACAGAATGAACTTTGATTTACCTCACTAGTAAGGGTGATAGATTTCTACCAGTTCTTTTTAAAATAAAAATAAATGCTATAAAATGATGTTCTTTATATTTAGAAACTTATATTTATTTGTTTTATAAATAAATTCTTAAAAATTTAATATAAAAATAAAGCTATAGTTTCTTCCAGGTCTGGGTAGTTTGGAAATGGAGGAAGTGAGATTATAGTAGCTGATATGGAAGACTGAAAATGATTAGGAACTTTTACCACAGTCACCAGTTCTAACCATTTTTTTTTCACTGTAAATGATCAATGTGGAACTTTCTGATTATATTGACTTGTAAAATAATCTCTATTGGTGATTCAGATTGCTTCTAAAGAGCTGACAGCTCACTTTGCAGTCTGGTTATTCATAATGCTAGATTTAACTATAATGAATTCTCAAGGATTTTATTTCTGTTATTACAAAAACACTAGTATGAACATGTTTTTCATTTTAGCTGAACACCAGGGGAAATATTTAAATATTTAATTGAGCTAGAAAATAAGGTGTATAGTTAAAATTCTAATCCAGTCAGATTGTTTCAAGAGTGAGAGGAAAAAATTGGTAGTTGGGCTTTTCTTGTGGAAAGTCAGAATATTATATTTGATTTCAATTTGTAAGTTATTTTCACTAGTATTTCCCATCATAGGCCAGCTCCACTGATAATGTATATAGTGAGTTACCTCCCCATAGATAATCTCCATCACAAACAGGAATGTTGGTTGCAGTTTACAGTTTATTATTTTTCATATTTCAGTGGTTAAGTAGATATTCATGTAGGACCAGGCTGTTTCCTTTTAGCAGCCCTCCTACTTGGACTAATTAGCTTTTTAAAAATGGATAGGGATACTATGGGATTTTCCTCTCTGAAGTGCAGCTATTACTATCAATATATTAAATTGACATTAGAAAGGCTGGGGCTGTAGCTCAGTGGCAGAGTGCTTGCTTAGCAAATGCAAGGCCCTAGGTTCAATCCCCAGTACCAGAAAAAAAAAAAAAAAACATGTGCTATTTGGCTTAAATTGATATTAGAGTTTATTATTTCTTCTCTTTGGTGGTATATACAATATAATTGTGGCAGGGGTTCCAGGGGAAATCAGATTAGGACTTGGAGACTGCTTGCCTCTAAAGAATGTATCCCCTCATTCTGTACCAGTTTTTGTGAATCTATCTGTCTGTCTGTCTATCTAAAGGAAGAAGAGGCTTTCAAGGTAGATTTTTTTTCCAGGGAAGAGATTTTCGAGAAGAAGAATGATAGGGGAATGAATGGAGACCAGGTAAAGAAAAATAATCACAGGATTATTTAATCTAGGAACTTGCACAGATTAAAAAAATGAGGATTTTTTTTTTACTGGAAATATAAAGACTATATATAAAGCATGTATGGAGTAGTGAGAACTTCCTAAATACTACTTTGTCCCAATAAATGGACTTTTTCTCCAGTGCTTGCAGAAATGCTTATGGTTTCAGGAATTTCTCTCAGACTGCACCAGAAGTTACCATCTTAATAATGAGGAGATAGGGCAAAGTAGCCCAGGAACTTTGGCTCTTGAATATGGGCAGACATTAGGGGGAAATTTACAATAAAAGGGAATCATATTCTTTTTTTTCCATTTAGGTGGGGAAATAGGAGGAACAGATCCTCCCTTTCCAGTTGTTTTGACCATCATTTTCTTTCACATTAGAAATGGACAGCATTCTGGAAAATAAGTCCTTGGGGCAACAGTGAGGAGTCATCTAAGAGAGGAAAGAGAACATCTCAGTCAGAAAAGGCTTGGTTAGTTAAATGATGGTGGATATAAAGTTGTCTGTCCCTTAGCCAAGGAAACAAGGGCATGACATGTTTCTTTAGTCATGATCAAGAAGGATATCTTAAAAGGCATCCTTCTTAAAAAGCAGGGGATGGTGAAATGATTAAGATTGCCACTTGCTTTTCATTATTCCCTTAATCCCAACCAATATTCTTCCTGAATTATATGCAACTCCAACAAGGACATACTATGTTGCTAAGATGTCTGCAGGGGACCCAGTTTTCTTGAAGGAGTGAGTGGTATGTTTCTGTATGTATGACTCTGAAGCAGCAGGAAAATTCATTTGGAGGATGTACGGATTTTGAGTACCAAGAAATATAGTTCTTGAACTGGGAGGCAGGGTTATCCTAGGGTAGAATTAGGAGTGGCAGCTGGAGCACTTTCCCTCAACTGGCTGGGCACCCAGTGGTCAATGGAGAGGACAGAGCAGAAGCATATGGAAGGGTTAGTCCTGAGCATAGAGTACTCTACCAAGTAACTGGGGGAGATTCAGAGTGGGGTGTGTGCATGTGTGCTGAAGTCCTGAAGCTTAGCATTGAGGGGTTAGAACCAAAAAAATGTGGGGCCCAAGGTAGTTTGATTTATTTGTATCTACAGGCTGCAGAGGCTTGAAGACAATCAGCTTATTAAAAGAGCCCTCTCTCTTTTTAAAGGTTATGATTGTTGTGGTGAATTTGCTGCAATGTAAAAAACCTATGGACTTCACTCTCTAGGAGCTTAGCTATTCTTGTCTTAAAATTGTCATGCCTGCTATGGCAACAGCATAATAATTACTTTATTTC